ATTATCAAATCGATCATCGACTTCTGTGCACAAGCTTCCCGGTACCAGGTGTACTGATGCACGTTTCGATTCTCGAAGGTGTTCATAATGGTCAATCCGTTGTTTGCACGGAACCGCAACAAGTTCATGCCGTTATTGTTGAGGTCGCTAGGGCCGTTTTTTCCAATTTCGTCATTCCACCTTTCGGCGTCAACTCCGACATTCGCATTAAAATCGCCCATCAGTATGAGGGGCTCTGTATTCGACACTTCGGGCAGAGCACGCTGCACTTCCTCAAGGAATATCTCATATTCTCCTTCCAAATTAGGCGCATAGACCTGTACCAGGTTCATCGCTTTAGCCGGTTGTAGCTTCAGTCGGAGGATTACCCTTCCGCTGACAGGCTTCCAATCAATGATTCTATGTGAGGTTTGGTTCTAGCAGAACACCAACACCGGCCTGAGCGCGAGTCGTGATAGCTTCCATCCGTTGAGGTTCAGGAGTCCAGAGCCTGGGCGTTTTGTTTACAAGAGTTGTCAGTTGGAGGATTGCCACTCTTCCATTGACAGGCTTCCATTCAATGATTCTATGAGCTAGGATAGGTTCTGCTAGAGGATTAACATCGGATTTAGCAGGCATCGTGATGTCAACACCGGAACAGAATTGCTTCCACTCCCAGAGGTTCAGAATTCCAGAGCCTTGGCGCTTCGTTGACGAGAATCCAACTCTGTCGAGTTGGTTCCTTGCGGCCTTGTCAACTACCTCATACTTTTTTCTTTTAAAGATGTTCCAATTTCTGACTATATGCTTCGACCGTCGTTGTCGTTCCCGTACAGCCTTTTCTGACGTGCTCTAACGGCATCACATTGTCTTGCTCTTCCATTCAGAACGGGTATTTTTTGCACTGCTGGTGTCCTGGTGTTTTCTGTCCATCGTTGGCAACCGTCGCCTGCGCTACGCCGCAATTTTCTAGGCGTTGGGAGGCCGGTTCTGATCCCGTGCTCTTAGCAGCGTGGCTTATTTACCCTTTAGTTTTCGCGTTGTATTTTCTTGTTTTGTATTTATTGATATTAGGTGATCAACGTGTTGGTGGATGAAAAGTCGGAACTTCAGTCGCAGCTGCGGCAAACGATGGAAATCGCGAACGCCCATTACGCAGAGAAAAAGTCATTGGAGCAGATGCTGAAAGTGGAACAGGATCGAACCTTGGCTCTGGAGAGTGAACTCCAGCAGTTGAAGTGCAAGGACACGAACCTTGAGTCAACGTTGCAGAAGCAGTTGATTGAACTGAACAACTGCTGCACGGAATTGGCGCAGAATCGTAAGAGAACCAGTGAGCTGCAACAGGAGCGCAGTGAACTGAGTGCCAAGCTGAAAATGCGAACGCGCGAGGTGAAAGATCTGAATCAGAAGCTGAAGGACCTTGAAGGAAGCTACCAGGCCAGCCAGATATATGTGCAGCAGATGAAAGGTGACAGAATTCACTTGTCGTTTTTGGAATGCGTACTTTTGTATGTCTTTTAGTTTTTTTACGTGAACCCTCGGCATGGTCGCACGCTTTTCTTCTAATGAAACAATGAGCGTCACTGTGTTATCGTTTATACCGGCATTCACTTCCTATTCCGTTCTGATGGATTAAAACTGATCTCCTTTTCGATCCATGGGGGTGGTCTTTCGCAGTTACCTGTTATTGGCCAGTTTTTGTAGCTTTTGCTGTCAGCCCTTGATCTATACCTTAAATATGTAATGAGCTATCAGTCAAGCCAACAGATGGAAAACCGTAAATGAAGCCTTGTACACATTAAAAGTATCTCATTGGAGATGTGGTTTCTGTCACCTCGTATCTCCCTATTACACATTTTATTTACATATTTATTGCAACAGTACAGTGATATGGCGTCGATAATAAATGAAGGAATGTGTGAAATTATATCTAAGTAAAGCGGAGGATGAAATGCTAGAGTAGTCATCAAATTTAGGTATTTCCTTCAACAAAGTAAGGCGCTCGTGGATGGTGGCACAAAACATCTATCGAAACTACAGTTTTAGCTTTTGAATAGCGCCTATCGTTTATACATAGTGATGGCTGATCTCCGAGTTATAACAGACTTTTCTTTTGGCATGATGAGTTTTTTATAAACTACCTTTCCATATACCTTTTGTAATATGCTACGGAAAATTCTGCTATTAATTCGTTCCCTTAACTGCGCTTACAGAATTTTTGAACTTGACTGAACCGTAGAAGATGATAGTTAACCTGCTACCCCCTTTCTCCTATTCAAAGAACAGCAGTAGCCGTATATCTTCTCTTTTCTGAACGAAAATGACGGATTGAAGATTTAATCGATCTGGCCTCTTGTCTTACCTTTCCCCGAAGGATTTAGTTTCCATATTGGCATCACTAGTCATTGATAGCTTAAGGGAAAATTTTTGTACTCTCAGACGAGAGTATCTTGACACCATGTCCTCGTTAGTTGTTCGCTTTCATTACGGTTCTGACTTGTGCGAATCTTATCAGCAACAACGGCTCTCATTTTCGGTGTTTTAATGATTTTATCTACTACGATATTGACCAGACTGATCTGCGTATGTCGCAGTACTTGGTGTCATATAAATCGGTAAGAGGAGAATTGAGAAGCGTAAAATAGTCTTTGCTAGGTTGATCTGTCGATTAAGTATTTGACTCAGAATCGAGAGCTCTCGAGTTCTAGCTCCAGTCAGATTACTCTCGTATATGCCTTTCCATGGCTGATAATTGATAACTACTTGTGGGAAGGAAACAGGAGAAAGAAAACTCTGCTTGCTAGGTGCTCCTTGCTGATGATACAGAAGATTAGATTAACGATGCACCGAACATTTCATGAACTGGATGGTGCCACAGATTATCCCCTATCATGAACCAGGGAAGACCGATGTCATACAAGCTTTCCCTTTTTCCTTTCTCTCGTGTTTGTGTCATAACTGTCATCAGGAAAACCTAGGAGGTCATGCTTGCTTTATTCATAATAATTTATATAGACTCCAAAGCGCTCCCCACTTAACTATCGTGGAGAAACTGGATTGTCCGTTTGACATCGAATGCAGTGGCGCACTGGCGAATTGCCGGAAAATTAGGCAAGCAGAAATCGGTTAACATTAGGTCACTCTGTGTAGCAACAAATGAATGTAGGGCAGACAATAAACCCGTAATCTTGATTAGAAACTAACCCCAGTCGTGCAAAAGTACAGCGAATCGTTTATCATTGGAGCAGCCCGTTCTGCTCGATTATCTGTTTTTATTCATCTCGTGTTGTACGCGTTTCACGTTTTTTGTTGGTATGTGAATTTCTGATGGCTCTTTTCAGTTATGTTGAGGATTTCCTTTGTAATGCATGTTTGCGTACTGATCTTTCCATACTTTTTATAATATAGTGCTGTAAGGTAGTGATTTTTCTGTAAAAATGTTTAGTCATTGTTTCTTCGTCAGCCGTCATTGTGCTGCCACGCCCCCGGCTGGCAGAGGGCAATGAGTAGGTTCTAATCGCCGACTTTTCGCAGTCTTCCTCAGTCCCCCAACAGCCTGCGG